ATTGGTTTAATTAAAAAAGGAAAAGGAAAAGAAAAGACTGAAGGAATATACCTATTGACCAATGGGTCACGGGTTTGAGTCACGCCAGGGTTAAAAGGAGAATCACTATTGAGCCCTTAAAAAAATGAGTAAAATTTAAATAGCCCAGGAAGAACTTCATAGAAAGCATGCAAGGTAACATCCAAGAAATTTCTATCTTTGGTACACAAAGGTAATCGGCACATACTTTCTTGCAATTTTTATAGAATAAGCAGCAATTGAAAGCATGTAAGGAAACCCTCCCCTAATTAGTAGCAATTAGTAGAAAAAGAAAAATATAGCTCTCACCTCTCTCTAAAAAGTTCGCCGGAAACCCTCCCCCAAACGGTGGTTGGGGGAGCCAAATCGTTTTCTTTTTTCGAAAACAAGCCTTTTAACACACATAGGGGGATGATTTGAGGCGCCAGACAGAATCGGATCTCCTTGCTGTTCATTCCAACCATGTTGATGGTTGCAGATCGGCCCGCGCCAGATATGAGTTCCCGCCGAGTCTGACAACAAGTGCAAAACAGAACCCGCACAAAAGATCCTGTTCCGAAGCCAAAACCATCCTCCCCTTTTGCTCCAAATACACAAACTTTGGTTCCGCCACCAGATCTGAAGACCCACTCTGAGAAAATCCGGCGAACTCCACCGCCGCCGTTCGATGTGGCTGCCGTTGATGCTGCCGATCGATGCTGTCGCCGTTGAGATCTACCACTGCTCTGCCGATTCAAAGCCATAGCCACCGTCTTCGACAGCCCCGTCACCAACGGTTGCCTTCAGCAGCTCCGTTCCGATCCTCGACTCCAAATTTACCCCGCTCAGTTCTGACCGAGTGATGCCTTCCCTCACGCTGCCCAATATTTTCACTTTGTTTTTATGTATTTATTATTTCAACCAAATCTGATTCTTGTGCTCAAACCGGTTCACCGGCGCTCTATTCTAAACCGGTCCACCGGTCTATCATATCAAGGCCGATTCGTCGGCCCACTCTTCTAAAGCCGGTGCTTTGATGATTTTCAGGAAACCGGTTACTTTGGTCTACAAATAGAATGTATCGAATTATGGGTTAGTTAGTTTAGACTTGTTGACTGTCGACACTCACTGTTCGGGATTTTCAAATATGCCCACCAAATGTGACAATCCATGAATGGTGATGTACTAAGGTCTCAGACGGGGACAAGTTTACTAGCTAGTCTTTTTTCGATATAGTTTACTAGTTTTTAAATCACCGTCATTATGAGACGGTTTCTCGTTGTAGGGGTAAGATTTAAGCACTGCCCCGAAATTTTATACTCTATTAATAAATTTCCCAGGTACTTACCTGGTAAAAAAAAAAAAAAAACCATCCTCGTATAGTCTTATAACATTATTATTTTTTTTTCATTTTACCATGCATTTTTAGAAATATACTTTTCTTTTAATAATTTTGAGGTAAGCTTGGATATAAAATAACACAAAATAATGAAATATTTAAATGAGTACAAACACTCACCTTCTAAATGTTAGCAACATCAGGAATTTACATTCATAAAATTAAGAGGTAAACAACAATCAACTGTATAAAGCATACAAAGGCATTTAACAGCAAGCAATATAAAATGTACCTTGGCCTTTTTCAGTTGAATCCACTCTTAAGTCTGGGAGGTGAACCACTTGAAATTATCATATACCAAAACATTCTTAAAAAGAAAATCAGAAAAGGCAAGAGTTTATACCTTTAAGGATAAATTACCATGGACAAACGTGAACTTTAGGAGCGGGGGACCTCCAATGCTTTCACTTTTATACTAATACACTGAGTTTTCCAAAAACTCTATCAACTTCATTTCGTTGACTTACGCGAATATATAGTAGGCGATTCCAACTTCATTTCGTCCTGGCATGGCTACCTTCCAACTTGTATCTTCCTGTCCAATAGGATTGTCAATTGCTAAATAGTACGTAAATCTAACAATTTTTTTTTCTTTTTTGTATTACGTGTTTGGTGTCTGAAATTATTACTTTAAGGCTCCGAGTAATCCATTTTATTGAAAATCTAACGGGATTGATCGATCCTAGAGTATCCATCAGTAGAGGCGTGCTTAGTTTCCCTTATGTTCCACGCCGACATTGTGACGTGCTAGTTAATCAAAAGGGACAGAAAATAAAAATTTAGAAAACAAAAGATCTCTAATTCTTGAATTGCTTTTTTAAATAAAAAATCCAAAACTTAAACAAAGTAGGAGTCCTAGGATAGTCAAATTCAACGAATTAAAGGGTGAAATGAAGCTGCCTTTGTCATATTATTCTGATCAAAGCTTCACATATGATCTAGGAGATCAGTTAGGGACTTAATTGACATTTTCTGTAAACAATAGAGCTAAGATGTACAGTTGACTTATATTTATTAAACTGTCAGTCATTAGTTAGGTTAAGTTTGTATATAAGCTTGATGATCAAGCTAAGTCTGATTAACACGTATAATCAAGATTTTCCCAAATTCAATCATGTCTTCTTCTTCAAGAACTCTTACTCAAACCCTAGCGGATTTTTTGACAAATAGACATACATAAGACACTAATCAATAGATCACAACAATAGCCTTTTTTGCAAGTCTCATGACGAAAACTCATTATGCAACAATTAATCAAAATATCTCAATTCGTTAAACTTCAGGAAATGAATTTACCTTCAAATCAATGAGAAGAGTTTCATGACAAATGACATCAAAGGATTTTGATTTCTATACGTAGAATGTTCACCTTCCAATCAAACTTTATCAGAATGGGGGTGAGATCCTCATTTGGATTAAATTGGCGGCCGGTAAGATGGTAATTTGGGACTTGTTTGTGTTGGATAGTGAGATACAGATCACATGTATCACTTTATGTTTATATACACTTTATAGCCTAATAAATTATCGCTCTGACATTCCATAACATATGTGAAAGTCGACACTGGCCAAATTCTATAATAATACTCCACTCCTCGTTTAGATAATAGAACAGTGGAACCGAATAATTGGAAGAACTGATTGGGAAATCATGCATTCAGGGGGTTTTTGTGATGTGGACGTCCTTATAAGAATAATGATTGGTACAAGAAAAAAATAATAAGGAAAAATTATAAGAAAATGATCTTACTTATTCATTATTAAAACTTTTAAACTAGGGTGTTTATATTTAAGATTAAGAGTATAGTTAAGATTTCGACACATCATTCTTGTCATTTTTTCTTTTTATTTTTTTCTTTTACCTATCATTACTCTCATTATAAAATTAGTTTGCTATCAAAAGTCAATGTTTATAATTTGTGATATATGATCGTGGATAACATTCAAAAACATTTGCAGCCAAAATGAAATTCATTAATTACAAAATATAAATAAAAATGACATATGCCCATTTATTTCAATTTTCATTAGTTTTCTAAGTAATGATTTGAACAAAAAATAAACATTTGTATCTTATCAATAATTTACTATCCTACGCGTTGTATTTAGACCCATTTAACATTTAAAAAAAAAAAAATCTTTTAACTGTCGACAAACACGTTATCATAAAATTATTTTGTTATGAAAAGAAAAGATTATATTTATGTCAATAATCCATAAAATTTGAAAATAACAGTCTAAAATTAAAAAAAGATTAAATAGAAAACAATAATAACAACCAACAAATTATAAAAAAAACGCAGAATTTAGATTTAGATTTTTGTTGATTTTCTCGTTGGCATTGCAAATTCGATGAAATAGTCCACAAGCAAAATCTGTACCCAAATATATATATATATATATATATATATATATATTGTGCTTCTTTTTATTGATATCGAAAAATCAAGTAGTATAAAGAAAAAACTTCAAACGACATTAGCAAAGTTAATGACTAAATTTTTCAGTACATTAACGCCAATGTCGCCAAGTTTTTAATATAGTCAAATTAAAAACGGAGTATATTGTATCAAGTTTGGTTTATTTTGACTTTTACATCAGTCATAGTATGTATACTTATCATATTTGAATCCGTCAGCCTATTCTTGGTTTCTTTAATGCAAATTTAAAATTAATTAGAAAGTTTTGTCCAGTAAAATTTAGATATTTTATAATTTATATAATAAAATATCTATAGTTACTTAATAATTTGACCGATTTACCTAAAATTAACTATTAACCAAACAATAATAATATCAAATCTTGTAATATCAACCTCTAAAACTAAAATTCGTTTGATTTCGTTTGTAGCAAATTGCAGATACTTCATATATATGCATAAAGAACAGTTTAACACCGTATATTTATATTTATCATTTATTTTACACAAAAGAAGAAAATGCATCCCAAATTAGAACGAAGGAAATCCTGCAAAAAATAAGCTACATATTGATTCAATTTGAAGCTTGAAGCCTGAAATCATTCAACATTTGCTGCACCTCGAAGATGCATGTTTTCATGATCCTTCTTCGGGAACTTGTGGACTTAATAGTTCGAGTGATAGACCCGCTATTCGTTAATTTCTGTACACAATCCTCAACATTTATACATGCTTTTCAACGTTTTTTTTTAAAATATTTATTTCTAGCAAATTTGACTTCGTCGTTTGACAAATTTAATTAACTCAAATAATTCTTAAATCATGTACTTCCACCATCCCAAAAATTTTTGTCTAGTTTAAATTTTTACTTTTGATTCAATTTGTACTAAAATTAAAAATCTAAATTTGACAATAATTTTGGTACGGAGAGAGTATTAAGTCACTAAATCTAACATTTACCCTCCTAGAACTCCATGCCGTTGGGGCACATCAAATAAAACTAATTTAAGAGATATATATAACCACGTAAGAAAGGGCCATGAACAATTTTTCACGGGATCGAGATTTGGCCAAAACTGGTTTATACACACTAAATTACTCAGAAATGTATTATTACCTATTGTGACCGGCGAGTTGTTCAAATGTTTGAATTGGTCAGCAACGTTAATTAACATCCATCGGACTGATTAATTCTACAAAGGTAGGATTATTCTACAACATTTTTTCCACTACAAAAGCACGAGGGGATCTGATGTTTTTGTTCATCAAGCTCTTTTGAGGATAATAACTCAAACTTACAATTTTAATTTCGGAAACAAACTATAGAATGGGAGCTGCTATGATGAAGGTCTTCATGATGATTGGCTTGGTGACAAGCCTGGTTTCAGTTGCTTATGCCGCTACTGGCACTGCTACTTACTATACACCTCCTTATGTTCGTAAGTATATTTTTGAAATAATTGTTCACTTTGAATTTTTATTTTTTGTACAAATTGTTCGAATGTTGATCAGTTTCATGAAACTAAATGCGCACTACATATATAATCAAAGATTTGTCCTCAATGATAATCGATTAATCAATATGGTGTTGATTGAAACCGCAGCATCTTCTTGCTATGGGTTCCAAGACAACGGAGTGATGATCGCAGCCGCAAGCGACGTAATTTGGGACAACCGGGCAGCTTGTGGGAGAAATTATCAAGTCACCTGCACCGGACCTACTAACGCAGGGGTGCCGCAACCTTGCCGGGGTAGCGTCATCGTCCGAATTGTCGATTATTGCCCTCCAGGATGTGCCGGCACCATTGATCTCTCCCAAGAAGCTTTTGCCCTCATTGCTGATCCCGCTGCGGGAAAAGTCAACATCGAATATCACCAGTAACACACTCCGTTTTTCTATAAAAGTTGAATATTTGAAGTTCAATTTTCAATAATGTATGTATGATCGATCCAAATTTACTTTGGCTTTATTTCGATTGTTTTTCTTTTTCTTTTTTTCAGGGTGTGAAAGCTGCAATTGAAGTTTCTCCAAAGAAGATCGCAACGAATTAATGGCGCCCAGAGATAACTAAGTAGTTTTATTAAAATTCATGTACCACATGTATTTTGAATTACCCTTTACATGATAAAGTATTGAATAATAAATAAACCCTGACACTTCATTATATTTACCCCCTAAAATTAACGTTCTATAGTGGAATCATACTAATAAATTGTCTTGGTGCATTATAAATGAAGGAGCAGAAAACGTATCCTTAAATTAAAAATCTTTGACACTTTTGCTCTTTCCGCTCTTCTTAATTTCTTCGTGGATGGCGCTAAACTCTACATAATTGAAGCGACTATACTTTTTACAGACGGTGGAGTTGGTGTAACATTACTTCATTGGAAATACGTATATAATTATAAACCTATGCTTAATCTTTGGAAATACGTAGTGTGTTTTTAATTTTAATTTGAATAATATTTTCTTAACCACAAGTATATGTCACCTTACATGGCATCGAATCATGAGTTAAACTTATGTTAATCTGAAACAGTACCACAAAATGAACAAATAATTAAACTTCGTTAGATCTTAGAAGATTAAATAGTTGTCTGTGGGAACGTTAATCAATTTTCTACGCCATGCTTAATTAGCTTATTAGTGAAATATCACAATTACGAAATTTTCACTAAAATATTCCAGTTATACATTTTTTGAGTCACATAAATAGCACCCATTAAATCAAATTCATCTCAACCGTACATCTCACTTCATACATATCTGGCGTCCATCAGAATATCATACTCACAAAATTATTCCATAAACTTTCCAATTTACGAACTTTACGCCAAGTCCACCGTAAAAATTTAAAGATAAATTAGTTGGGAAGATCCAATTGAAGCAAAAGCATACAAAAATCAACCGCGACGGAATTGGCATCATTTGCATGAAAACAACTACGTGTAAGCTTCATTTCCTCAAACTGCAACACCTCATATAATGCACATCAACACGTTGTAGCCATGCAATGGATCTCAATCTCCTATAAATTGATTCCCTTCATCTCCTTACCTTGCACCGAAGAAAAAAAACAAACACAATTTCTCACTTAGATTTGGAATCCATAGCAAGAGCAAGCAGTAAGTAGCAATGGCAAAGTTAGGAGTATTTGCAGCAATGTTGGTGGCCCTGTTGGCCTTTGCTCAGGCCAACAGGTTCACCATAACCACCACGGTCGACGAGGAAGATCTGAACCAAGGCGGGCAGATGCCAATGCAGATGTGCCGACAGCAGATCCAGCAGCAGATGCAGCAGATCCGCCACTGCCAGCGCTACCTGTCCTCCGGCATGATGATGCTGGAAGAGGTGGTCGGACAAAGCGGCCAGCAGATGCAGCAGCCTCACCTCCGGCAGTGCTGCATGACCCTCCAGAACTTCAACGAGCAGTGCCGATGCGAGGCCGTCAGGGCGGCTTTCGGGATGGCGCGTGAGCAGCAACAAGGAGGCGGAAGCTGGCAGGGGCAGGCCGGCCAACAACAACAGATGATGGAGCAGATGAGGATGAAAGCTCGCTTCCTTCCCCAGCAGTGCAACATGGGCCCCATGATGTGCCGCATTTAAAATTCATTTAATTACTTAATCTAATTTTCTATTTTCAGAGGTCAAGAAATAAAGCTACCCGGTACTAAATAAATCAGCTTGTGTATGTATCTGTAATAAATGTAAGGTTTTTTCTCCTTTGATTCTCCAGAGAGAATCTGATCAATGGGGGGAAATCTTGTTTCAAAGATCGCACATGATCGTGTGTGGTTATTGTCTGTGATTTGTGTGTGTTGTATGAGTGATTTGTGCTAGCTAGCACTTTAATGAAATATGGTCTTCTTGATCTCATTATGTACTCTTCAATATTCTTTTGATTTTATTTTCTCTCTTGGAATAATGGTGTTACAAGCGTAATAGTTCCCAAAATATGCAATCCAACAAGTTCACATTGAGAAGATCGCTGGATCTTCAACTAGCAATTTGGGGGAGTACTTTGAAAACATAGATTAGGTGAGGGTGCATTTTAAAACTTTACACAAAATTAATCTAACATGAACTGTATACTAAGTTGCTTGATGATTCAGACCAACTAATTTCCCAAATCTCTAAAACTATATAAAGGGACAATACAGGGAAAGGAAACCATAATTCACCTCCTGGCGGCCATGGAAATAATACACGGGCCTGGAAGCGAGATTGATAAGGAGTTGCGGCAAGAAATTTTTGTTATGCTGGTTTAATTTCATCGGCTCCGTCTCTGGAAACTTCATCAATAAGTTGGTGGATTTATCTCCAAACGACTACATAATTCCAAAAGTAATCCGGGTAATCAATCGGGATCCTCCACTACAGAATATCAAGCATTTAACTGTTGCAAGTAGTAGTACATGTCCCAAGTACAAGTACATACCGATCAATGTGGAAGTGTTGGAGTGTTTGCTTTGGATGGCTCCAAGGCTGGACACTCGGACTTCAGTTGTTGATCTTCATTCCACATTAACTTTTCAAATCATACATGGGAATTCAAGGAATGTAGAGGAGTTGATCACTTTCATAACTGGGAAGGACAGCAAATTGTTTAAAGTCAAAGTTAAAAGTTCTCCAGTTACTAATTCATAGAGGTTAGAGTTGCGGAAGTATTTTTTTGATGATTTGGACTGTTTCTGTGATGGCAGATATTTGGGTGGAAGTATAAAGGTCGCGCTGACAAAGGATTGGGTTTCGTTTATCCTGCTGATATGATTTCAGTAAGTACTGGATTCTTAAATAAAGATCAAAAGGAATTTGGCTGGGGGAAGAGTATTTGGGATGAATTAGATAAATATTTTTATAGATTCTCTATTGATGTAAACAGAAAATACTTGTTACATTCGGTGTATCCTTGTTTTTAGTGCTGCAAGTCATTTTACGATATAGGCAAATATCAAGACCTCTACTTATTTTACTCACACTCCCTTGAAATATAATTTGTTACCTTAATCATGTTTTAATCCTGACTCATCAGGCGTGTAATTAGTTGAGCTAAGACAGAAAAGAGCTATGAAATGCAGGAACAAATTAATTAGTTCAATTTCTGCAGCCAAAGATTTTTGTACTTGGCCAAGAGAGACACAGCTTCATGATTTCTGCTTGGAAGTCTATTGTACTCTTGCTAACATTTCCTCAAATGTCTACTCCCTCTATTTCAAAATAAATGTCGTTGGAGGAAAACTATTTTTTTTCCAAAATACATGTCGCTTTCGCATTTCGAGGCATGCTTTGTCAATTTCTTCCAACATTGCCCTTACATGGGAAATTGTAATTGTGTTTAAAGTAGAAATGTATTAGAACTAAATAATATTGGAATTAGAATTTTATTAAAAGTAAATAAGGGTAGATTAATATTTTAACCAAGTATTTATTGTCTTCTAAATTTTGAACCATTTTTCCAGCGACATCTATTTTAGAATGGAGGGAATAATTTAGTACTCCATCCGTACTATGATGAAAGTGCAATAAAAAGAAAAAAAAACACCAAAACTTTGAGATTGATCACGTCATCCTAGAAACTGAACAACATCTCATTTATTTGTAGACACATGATGTTAGACAATAGACACATCTCATTTATTAATTTGTATTGAAGAAATAGAAAAAATGGAATTCTTACCCAAAGCTTTGCCCTCGGAGTTAACTTTAACTAATACATTTTTAGTTAGCCAACTTTACCCCAATGTTTAAAATTTTCGCCAATTTTGTCCAATTGTGTCATTTTCCGTCCAACTTAACAGATCTCCGTTAATTTATTAATTAAATAATTGATTTAATTACACAATCATCCCAATAATTTTAAAAAAATATAAAAATAATTCCTGAATTATATAAAAAAACAAAACAGTCTATTTTTAATTTTTTCATTTAATTTTTCTCTATTTCATTCCATTTCTCTGCAATACTTTTAACAGCCATAAAATTAAAATTACTTTATTTTAAATTAATAATAATAAATTATTTTGTAAATTATCTTATTTTTCCTAATTAATAATAACAATTTAAAATAATAATAAAGTATTTTAAAATTATTATTAATTTTTAATTTTAATATCCTTTATTATTAATTTAAAATAATAAACAAAATTAATTTTAAATTAATTTTAATTTAAAATAAAATACTTTTAAATTAAAAAACAAAAATAGTTTTATTTTAAGTTATTATTATTTTATTTCTTAGTTACTAAAAAAATAAAAGTTAGAGTAAAAGACAAATACCCCTGTTGACCTGATGTCCGAAACGGTCAAACTTTCAGAATTGTGTTAGAGGACCAAAAAAAAATTGAACGTAGAAGTAGAGGACCAAAACAAACAAATATAGATGTAGAGAACTAAAAAGTGCGGATCGCCTTATATAAAGGACCAATTTTAGATTTCAGTCTTGTATTTATATAAACATATTAATTTTGTTAATAATTAATATAGTTTAATAGTAACGACAATATTTTTCTTCTTTTTTTTAAAAAAAGAAAAACAAAATCACCCCAGTGGACCCGGCTAAAATATACTAATAAATTATTTTGTTACCAGAGCTAGATATTTTATTTTTATGTGTGGTATTAGTTTTAGTTAAATGTTTTTAATCTTTATATTAGGAAGAATAAAATGAATGAGAAAAATAGTATCGTTACTGCTAAAATATATTATTAAAAAAATTAATATGTTTATACAAATACAATCATGTGTTACAACTATATAAAGATTAATTTTTATGGTAGAGTATGAAAATAAATAAATATTTCTTTAAAGATCGTATAATATAATTTTATGGTCATTAAAAGTATTAAAGAGAAATGGAATGAAATAGTGAAAAATAAGATGAAAAATGAAAAATAGACTGTTTTGTTGTTTTTATATAATTCAGGTATTATTTTTATATTTTTTAAAATTATTGGAGTTTTTGTGTAATTAATTATTTTATTAATAAATTAACGGAGATCCATTAACTTTGACGGAAAATAGCACGATTGGACAAAATTGGCGATAATTTCAAACATTAGGGTAAAATTGGCTAACTGAAAATCTATTCAGTAAAATTGACGATGGGGTAAAGTTTTGGGTAGAAACGCTATTTTTTCCTCGAAGAAACTGAAGCCAATAACAAAAGAGTACAACATTAGTCAGAAAAAAAAAAAAAAGAAAAAAGGAAAGAAAATCCCCGAGGCCAAAAGTTAGCTTTATGATCCCAACAAGTAATTCCCTTCTTGTGATGACTTCAAATTCTGCAAAATTAGCGAAACCAAACCAGACAAGATGAAGATTATAAAAAAGCAATTAATATGTTAGGAAAAAGGCACAACACGAACTCGTATTTTGGGAAGGGAAGAGAATTCATATTTGATATAAACTTACCGGTGATAGTCAATCCGAATGAACCCCGCATCAGTATCAGCAATGGCAGCAAATGCCTCTTGTGAGAGATCGAAAGTTCCCTTACAATGAGGACAATAATCAACGATTTCAACTTCAACCGTGTGACCATTGCAAGGATGCGGTGTGCCCAGATTTGTACCATCGGTGCAAGTTACGCTGTATCTTCTCCCACATGAATTCCCGTTGTCCCAAATTTGAGGGCTTGCCGAAGCAATGAGTCCCAATGGGGTATCGTTACCGTAACATGCCGAGGCTGGAAAATTTATTAAAAAAACCCAAAATAAAAATAATAATTATAATTGTAACGAAATTATACGTAGTTCTGTATCTGCAAACGATTATTGTCCAGTTTGTTATGTTAGAATAATGTATCGGATGAAACAAACATGGGGAGAGGGACAAATTAATTAAGACTTACGACTGTATATCGTGTTTAGAGTTGCATAGCCATCATGAGCATTTGCACCAAAAAGAAGGATGACTAACATGACTACCAAAACCAGAAATTTCTTCATCATCATGATTACTTTCGTAGTCTCTATATTTCGTTTCTTCTAAATAATCGCAAGCGGCAGAATTTGTAAACCAGCTTGATTTGGTAGTGGGATATCAACAATGGATGTTCTTGGTCCCTTTTATAGTGAAAAGCTTTGTCGTGCATGGGAGAAACTCGAGGTTTTTTGTCATGTGGTATTGTATGTGATTCGGATATGCTAAAAATCTTCTATATCAGTAGTGATTGGGCGCGAGTTAATGAGGCCAGCTATACCTACACTAGAGTTAGCAATGGAATGTTTCAGATTTATTATTTAATTCACTTCCAATCATGCTCGATGTGTGATTTGTTTTTCGTTTTGTTTCTTTCTGATTAACTCATGCATAATACGTCCGTCCTTCCTCGCGAGAGGAACGAGTTGCATAATTTAGCTTTATTCTTTTTGTGCAGAAATTTGTCTGTCTACATAAGATATGTAGGTTGCACGTCAAATTTGCAACTATTTGTAGTAACTAATTTCAATTTTATTGCTCTAATATGAATTGAAATCAAGTACAGCAATTTAGGCCGCCAATCACAGCAGAATACAATCTCAAGAGAACAAAAAAAGGAATAGTTCACTTTTCTTTTCTTTTTTTAAGATCATAGTTCACTTGTGTTTGGAACCAAATAAGTATTATCAAAATATTGATCTGTTGATCCGTTTTCTCCATTAGTATATTAGAATCTACCAAACACACTACTCCCTCTGTCATGATATTGTTCAGTTTGGATTTTCACTTTTAATTCATCTAGACAATAATTCTAGGATAAATAGTGTATTATCTTTTAGTAGCAAATACACTGATTGCACTCCGTCTTTTAGTTTTCTTTCCTTTTTCTATTATTTCGGCGATAGCCAATAGCAATGTTCGCCACTTTTTTATCCATGGTTTCTACTTGAGAGTCTGGAGTCATGATAAATCTTGTCGTAAGATTTATTGCTTGATGAAAATTAGTGATGACTGATGTGTTAAACATTTATTGACTGTTGTTAGGTACGTTATGAGTTAAAACTATTGAACTACCTGCGCTATTGAATAGTTCAGAATTGTTTTCTCTTTAGTAAGAGTAACAACTGGTTGATGATAAGATTTAACTAGTATAAGAAATATTATACGGTTGAACGATTTCGAACCAAAATTAATGAAAATTAAGATTTTATTAAAAAGAAAAGGAGAAAACAATGGTTAGTAATAGTAAAGCGAACAACAAAAGAGTCGAACAATGTATCCAAATCAGAAACAAAAAGAGAAAGGAATCGAAAAGGTAAAAACTCCCAAGAGAAGAACATATACAAATAGCTCATCTATATGTTCCTCATTATCCTCCATGGCGCAATCTAACAATAGGTGTGCCGTATTGTAGGCTTCAAATTCTGCAAATAGACAAACAAAAAAGTTTAATTCAATCAATTCCTATAACATATGTAGGACTTGGATAAATTTGAAACAGTATATGAGCAGGACTATAATCGGATGATATATAATTACGTACTGATCATATTCAATCCCAATGTAGCCAGCATCAGTATCGGCAATGGCAGCAAATGCATCTTTAGAGAGATCGAAAGCTCCGGGACAACCGGGGCAGAAATCGACTACTTCAACTTCAACCGTCTCGCCATCGATACAAGGATGCGGTACGCCGTTGTTTGTACCGCCGGTACAAGTTACCCTATATCTTCTTCCACAAGCATTGCCATTGTCCCAAATCTCATGACTAACTGCTGCGATTAGGCCTAATGGAGTATCATTACCGTAGCAAGCTGAGGCTGGGAAAAACCCAAAAGAAAATTGAATGATTTGTTAATAGGGACATCTAAGCCGTTTGTGAACTTGTGGATAGATAAAGACTTACGATTGTATATGGTGTAGAAAGTTGCAAAGCCATCATCAGCACTTGTAGCAGAAAAATACCCTGCCAATATGCCTATTAACATGACCAAACCTTTCATCATCATGATTAAATTTGATATACTCGAATGTAGCTTTTCTTTTCTTCCTAATAATTTGTAATGTAATTGTAAGCTTAGATAGTTTTTAGTTTGGCCTTTTTTATAACACCAGACGTTGTGGATGGGAAATTTGATCTGTTTGTCATTAGGGATTCCGGCGGGTGCAAAATGTTATTCATCTACTGTGGTGGTGATTTTACCAATGTAACTTCTTATATTAGTTTCGTGCTACTTTAATAAGTTACTTTGTTCAAAGACGTGATGTTTAGTTGTTCACACACGATAATTTCAGAAATTAGATAATTACAAGGCAGAAGAGTAACTAGTAAGCTGAAGTGATGTATATTTTTCGAAAAACTAAATTCGTGATTTATTATATATTATCGATTTAATATTCAAAATTACAGTCGATTCACCATACAAAAGAAAAAATAAATCTCAATCCCTCGATGATTCAAAAGTTCAGAAAACAACCCTCGTAATCCTTCTGCCCGAATAAAAGTTTAAGTTATGTTTATTACATTGAAATAGCTTAACAAAATATGAAATAGTGGTGACTAAAGGAGTATCAATTATATATCCATCTTAGCTAAGTTATCCAGACTCGGGTATGGATACGAAATCGGCGTCGACTCGTATCGACACAAGTACTCTCCCTGAATTTAGGTAATATAGGTCTTTTAGTCTCGGAAATTCACATTTCTTATTTCCACCAATTAATTTTTGGAAACGTGATTCATTTCAACTTCAAATTCTTTCCGGAGAATCATATGCAATAGCAATTAATATTGATTGAAGAAGAAGAAGAAGTAATGATTGAAGTCGCTAATGAGCCGGTAAGTAAGACAATGAAGATTCACCCGTTGGTTATTACCGCAATTGGAATCACTATTTTCAAGTATCACATGCTGAATCTTTTCGATAAATAGAAAACGAAACCGACCATAATTTCCAGCTTTATTACTATCCTGAGGAATATTGGAAATATGCTAAAAGCAGTCATTTGAGAGTAGAAATCGAAATAAGGAATCTTTTTCGTTTTGTCAGAGAAACAACGCCACAATTCTTGTTCTAAGAAATAGAATTAAAAAAATAATATAACAAATTAAAACCCCTAATTCAACTAATAGTGTGCTGTATGCTGTTCTGTTTATTAAAACGAAATTTAATTTAGAAAATTTGCCTTAAAATATGTTAAAGGCTGGGGTTGGTTGCTTGGAATTAGAGCTAAGAATTGGAATTGGAAGTTAACTAGTCTAATGTTATAGTTTATGTACTTTAACCAATACTATCAACATGAACACTTCTTATATATAGCACGTATAGAGATGTTTTGATTCATACCAACATGCCATCACAAAAAATACGGATATCTGAAATAATTTGTATGCCATGATTTTTCTTAACATACAGGTATGAGAGAGAAGACAGAGGAAATTTTTGCAATATGGTTTGATTCATATCCATATCATGAAAAATATGAACTGATTTTATTTTATTCAAACGATTATGTGGCAGGAATTTAGATTTTAACTCCAGGCCAAAATAATTCTTCCCACTTGAGAGCCACTCATAACCTGCAGCCACAAACAAACAATCAATTTAATTGTCATTTTCCAAAATTTAATGGATCCATATGTCTATACTAATTCAATGGAAGAAAAAAAAGAAACCAACAAATAAACTTGTTTTTGTCTTCCTGAGTATAATCAAGTTTGACAACCCCAGCAACCGAATCGGCAATAGTTTGAAAGGCTTCTTTAGAAAGATCAAGGGTTCCTGCACAGCAGGGATAATGGTCAACAATTTTGACTGTCACGCTCGTGCCGTTAATGCAAGATTTAGGATAAGGGTTCGTTGGGCCGGTGCATGTTGTTGGGTTTTAGTTTGTGAGATAAAACCAAAAATTAAAAAGTTGCAACCTAGACTTGGTTCAATATTTCTGGAACTAACTAAAGGGTGTCAAGGAATTAAAAGAATATGAAACGTGACAAATATTCACGAAAGATTACGTTGGTAACTTGGAACTCAAGGGCTATAAGTCTTGATTCGCATTCTTTCAATTCCTACTGTTTGCCTATAAATAGGTGAACTACTGCAGGTTTTTGGCAAGTCTTTTTACATTCCTAAATTCTTAAAGAACAAGGAATAATTGCAAAGTTGCTTGTTCTTCTACTTCTTCGTATCCTAGAGACAAATTGCCAATCAAACCTGGTGTTATAAAGTAGTGGGCACAAATATTGTCTTAAGGACAATGATTACAAGCTTAGAATACATCCAACCACTACAGTGTTTCCCCCAATATTGTTTTTGAATATTTCTTCTTAGAAACTCATCCATGTTTTGTCTTGTTATTGTCACATTCTTGTATGACTTCTCCAACTACAAATAGTTCGCATCTTTCAATCTTAAGACAATAGTATAACCTTGAAATTGATACAAGTACTTGAGGAGACAAAAATCAAAGATGGTAAAAAAACAACAAAGATGTAATCTTATAGCATGGAAATTTTTAGTTGTGTTCAAGTTGTTTTCTCTACGGTTTAGTTTCGTAGTCAAGTTCTGAAGACATATCTTGAAAGATCAGGAGTATACAACAGATAAGGTTTTTTTGTGTTAAATGCTTTATCTTGAATTACCAAGTTCAGAATGGACAAATCCATATAATAGTTTCAATATCTGTAGATTTGTGTTTTTACTTTTGTATTAACAGAATCTAGTGTTGTGAAAATTATGTAGATCAAGTTGTGTTTAAAGATCCTACAATAATTATTTGCTAGAGATTTTAAACTAAATTTGGTTGAAAAAAAACATGCAATGAATTTCTCAGTTTTAAGGAATGCAAAAGACATATTGTTATACTTGTGTTGAAATTGGCTTTTAACTGAATAGTTATTGTTTAAAACTACTAAAATTAATTTGTGAATTTCCAAAACCCAATTGTGTTGGAAAAAACTAGAACTATAGCAATATTGTAATTTCATTGTATGTTAGAAATTTTTCTGTAAATGAACATCAACAATATCGTCGAGTAATTTGAGTCGACAAAAAGGTCAACACCTATTGGAATGAGTTATATTTTTATGTTTGGGTCTGTCGAATTTGTCGTCGATTTTGGTAAAGTTGACAAAAAATTCGACGCTCATTCGAGTAGTTTGTCATTATGTGTTTTGTCGACTTTGTCGTCGATCTGATAGGGTCAACAAAAAAGTTGACGGCAGAAGAACATAACTATATTCCAATAATTTTTTGGACAATTTTGGTTCTGAAAATTTGGTGCTATGTATGGAATTAAATGTTTTCTGCATGTGAAAGTATGTTTCTCATAACAATGCAAAAGCATGGTTATGGTGAAACGAAATCTACAACGTTTATGAAAAGTTGTTATTTCTTGATCTTTGGACATGTTAAGTGTTTTTGTCTTGTGAGTTCAATTGAAATGATACAAATTAAAGTTGTATGTATTGATTCTAAATAAGAAAACACAAATGAAAGGAGGTGTCTACTAGTTCCAAGTGAAAGACATATTTGAAAAATATTTCAATTGGTTCAAAGTGAAAAGACACAAGTAAAAGTCATGTCTAGTCATCCAAATGGCACATTAAGGTTGTGACCTTAGTTGGTAGTCAAATATTACTTTTATAGTGAAACTTTTAAATTGGTAGTACTTACTTTTACATTGTTATGTTCAATATCGATGCATTTGATATGGTAGTATGCTTAGACATTTTTATTATTTGGGGCTGCTAAGGCATTATATATCTGCATATTATATAAATTAATTAGTGTTAAATACCTTAATAATGAAAATGTGAAACATATGCATAAACCATGGTTGCAAGATTACTTCCAAAGAAAAGTTAAAAGTTATTGTTGGTACAACACTTTGTTGTATGTGAACTTAATAATATTAAACTAAGGGATGCAAGAAATATTTTATCACTTTTATAGATAATTGCTCATATTTATGTGCAGGTTTATCTAGTGAAAATAGTGGATAAAATATTTGATAATTTTTGCAAATAAATCCCTAGTCTAAAATTACTCTAGTAGGTAAAATGATCTAGTATTTAATAAACAACAAATATTTTACCTAAAAATATTTCTATGTGTTATGATAATGCTATGCTAGTGAGTTTAAGTGGCCAAAAGGTTTGTGGAATAAACATTATTAAATACTTGTCATGTGTACAATGAAACTGCCTAAAGACTAAGTGTCTCCATGTGAAATGTGGAAGGGAAGAACATTGTATTATCTAATATAAAAAGTTCAAAGTGACACTACATAATGTTGTGTTCCTAGTCGGGACCAAGAACACTTAAGTGTATGGTTATATGAACACTAAAGTATCTAAGCTACTTATCATTTATTATAATATGTTGATATAATTGATGGTTATAGATTCATTTAAAATTTGTTTTTAAAGTTTCTAAACCAAGTAGCTAATGTATCATCTAGTGAATCTCTCAATTTCCAAAGTGTAAGTGGTTCTATGAGTGAACCAAAGAGAAAGACATTGACTTTCTGGTTTAAGCAAAGCCTAAAACTTATGAAAGTTTTCTTGGAAGTTATATCCTCGAAGGTTAATGTTTTTCTAGTGAGAGAAATAAAAATACTCTACTAAGTAAAACTTTATGATGGTTTTTGTAGAGTAAGTTAAAAATAATGAGTTTTTTGAATTTTAGGGTGATGCATTTGGAAAGAAGAGTTAATCATGGAATGGACTTGACATTGTCTAACGATATATGTGTCCAAATCGATTTAACTTTAAAGGTTCTAGACTAGTACATTGTAAATGGTTATTCCATTAGTAATATGCCGTTGATAGCAAGAGGCATCAATAGTATATTTGGACTTGAAGTGTCATGATTGCTTTGATTAATTTGACTTGTATATTTTATCTTACTAGTTAGAAGTTTCCATTAAGTTTTTCATGTTCACTTGTTAAATATGGAAAATATTATCCTAATGGTGACTTATATGAAAATGTGTATTTGGAACT